CGAGCGTTTTTATAGGCCGCCCAGTTCTCGACAGTTCGATCATTTTTGTGCTTTCGGAACGCGCGGTCTCTGCGCCGCATTGCCATCTGTATGTGTCTGGTCATCCAAGGTGCGGGAGGCCGTTTTAATTTAATTTTCTTCACGGGAGCATGGCGGTCGTAGAGCTCAGTCAAAGTTTTGTTAAAAACAGCGACCATGGTATCGACATCTGCAGCCTCCATCAGAGGCCCCCAATCAATACTCGATGCATCCTCTATAAGTTTTTCACTATCCATCCGTGTAAAACAACGCCTGAACAGAACCCTAGGCCTCACCCTGGGTGGTTTCAGGATATAGGACAGGAAGATCAGGTCATGGTGAGAGAATCCGGGAGCCTCATGTTGACCATGAGAAGAAACTAGTGAGGGATTGGACGTGACTATCAGATCGAGCCATGAGTCCTCACCGACAGTGTTGTGATGAGTGGGTTGGAGAGGTAGTAGATGAAGACAGGCTGACTCGATCAGATGCCGAAGCCTACAGGAACGAAAGGAGTTGTGGACAAGGAGATTGGTGTTGAAATCACCCATGATTACGTGATGTGCATACTCTGAACCCAGAGATTCTAGTACTGATTCGAATTCAGTGAAATAGTCGACTGAGGGCGGACAGTAAAATACACCAATAACGATTTTCACCCCCTGGACACAAACCTCAAGTAGCAAGTACTCCGCAGGACAGTTTTGGGGAGATGATGAAATAACTCTGTACGCTAATTCACCGCGGAGGTAAATGGCCACGCCCCCCCCTCTACCGTTAATGCGGTCATTCCGGATGAGCACATATCCAGCTAAGGGGTAGGTGGTAGATAAGAGATGAGGCTTGAGCCAGGTTTCGGATATCAGGACGGCATGCACATTGCTATTATTAAACGCTTCGTAGAGGTCGCTGTAGTGACTGGGAACACTCTGAGCATTAATATGACAAACATTTAACAGACGGTTGTTCTTGGCAGAAAACTGGTTTTGAAGGAAGTCACCCAGAGTGTCACCAAAAGAGCAAAAACTACAAATAGAGGAACCATCATCAGACGCAGACGCAAAAGAATCAATATCAGACATGAATATATATAAAATAATAAATTACAAAAATATATAGATATAATAATTATGTATGTAAATTTTATGATAAATACCACAGCAGATGCCAGTTACTACTCACGTGCAGCTCTGCACCACCCGCCAGCCAACATCAAAACAATACAAAATTCAGGGTACATGAAAACAAAACAAAGTACATGTATAAAAAAAAAAGTCAAACATTAAAACGTAATCTATGGTTAAAAGAAAATAAAAAATAATTATGAACAGAAAAAGATAAAATTTTTGTTTCTGAACGCAGCCGTTCACTGTCGAGTTGACAGCGGACAGAGTGACAGTGACAGGACAGATTCAATTTGTGCTACGTATTTTATAGAATTTTATTAAATATATCCATGGGAATTTCTTAAATAATCAATCAGTTTATGACATTAATAGGACTGGTAAAATGTTTTTTATTTATTTATTAAAATTTTAATATTTACCAAACAATGAAATAACCACAAAGCAGAGATAATACCATATGTCACCTACTAGTAAAATATTTAAATGTTTATTGCAAAGCTATGATGTTACGCAACAGCAGCGATGATGCGATATTCATAAAGCAGTACCAACGCTCCAATATAACGGTCACAATGTTTCTTTTCACATTTCTTTGTTATGTATCCTACACGTCAGGATGTCACATAAATTCCATAGATACTAACCAATGCATAAACTATAATTTCAACTTTATTCCTTCCTCGCTAAAGTCGAGTAAAGCTACCGCAGGCGCAGGTAATATAAATGTAAAATAGTGTTCCTATTGTTCAGCGAATTTATTTTTCAAGTATTGAATTGAATTCAGCAATAAATTTTATTGGTAACACTGACAGAAATAGTCTGAAGAAAACTTGAACGATTTTGTTGATAAAACTAAATTTTGAAGGATTCGTATGTTATAGAAAAAGCATCGAAGAACTATAGAGAATATTATTTTTCACATTATGAATGTGAAGATTGGTACCGAATAAGGGGTCTCTCTGGTGATCGATTACCAGGTCGAGCATCGGTTGTATTAATGAATTTTGGAATTCTCAGTCAGTCAACCTTAGGCTCGTCCCTTATTACCCCTAATAGCATTAATGTCAATGCGTATTGTTGCTTTAACAATACCAAGTAAAAACTCTTAAGTATCTACCTATATATCATTAGTAGAAAGTCAACGCGAAAGAAGCAAACATTTCTGTCGCAAGCTAACAAGGCGCTCCCGAGTACAGCTTGCACTAAACATCAGTAACGATGGTCCCCGACAAATCTGCTTGTCGATAGATATTTCCACGACGTCCTCGTGCTGATATTATTTCTTTTGAACTGGGAAACAAACCATTGAACAGAGGAAACGTTTCTTGAAAAATTAAATTCAACTTTTGTTTACAAACCTTTGAAGAATCGATACGGTAGTTGAGAAAAAATAAAAACGATGTTGATCGCACTCCCTGTCTCTCTGACTATTGGAACAATCTACCAAAAATTGTAAAACAACGGCGACATAACGGGCCGCCAACTCATGACAAATATCAATTAAGTAATCAAGTCAACCTCCGACGTCCCGACGCGCATATTTACAGGACCGCGCACCAATATCGCTCTCCAACGAAACATCGGAATCACATACTAATTTCAATTCGATATACATGGCACGTTTCGCTCGGTGTAACACAATTTCTATAACTAGATTGTCAGCCATGTGGGTGCTCAAAGCAATCGGCTCCCGGTGAATTAATTTACGATGGTATAGATTGGATTCCCTGGGTTAGTTTTAGGTTTTGCGCGGATATTCGGCCAGCGAATATTGCCCGGTGGATGCGACAACGAAGTGAAATTCAATCGGGAAGTCGGGTTGTGTTACCGATAAAAATGTCGCTCAGCTCCGGGATGATCTCAGGACGTGGGCCGGTGTGATTGGCTTTTCGTCGCACAGATGGTAAAATAACAACCCAATCAAGGGCCCGGTTATAGAAATCCACACCGAAAGATAAGTGAATAAAGTCTGAATTGTTTTGACTTGGAAAGGACTACGTCCTTTACTTACTATTGTTCCATGAGTATTTAAAGACTATGAACATACTAATTGCGCGTATTGTGACATAAACGGCGCGTAGTTTAGAGAGAATGTACTTCAGCCCGCGGCCGTGCATTGTGTGGCTCTCGCTGGCGGGATGGCGTGGTGCACTCAGCCATATAACCCGACTTGTTACTGTCAATTGACATTGTCGTCACTATCAATCATTCCACTCAACTGATAGACAAAGGACTGTCACAACTACTCACTACGAACAACGTAAGACAACTGTCTCTCCAACAATTCAAGTTTCAACAAACTACGTCGAAACGAGAGTTTTGTTTAATTTCCATTTGTACCAACTGTCAAAACAAGTGAACTTGTATTTCAGACGATGATTTATTGCTTTGCCTCCTTTGACCTATTACCTTGTTGTGACTTTACCTAGAATAATATCTCAAAATGATTCAACGAATAATTACTTCAGAATAAACATAAATAACGGAACAATTCAGCAAAAAGTTAAATTTAAGTTGTTAACTTTAATTTCAAAAGTCTTAGTCTTGCACAATACGTTGTTTTATGCTCTTTAAACTTTAACATGGTGTCCATTTCTGGTATCTACTAAATATTTAAGTAATTAGCCTACGACAATACTGTGACAATAGTAACACTACGCTTTGAGTGATATTGTTTCCTGTAATAGTATAGGTACCGATTGCAATGCATTGTACTTGGTGCTACATTGAGGAGACTTATTGTCTCTCCACAGATCGTCATCAGTACAAGACTTGCACCCAGACTTCACATAGCTATTACATTACTGTGTATCTACTCAATGTGATGAAATACATATCATAGAGTACATAATTATAGAGGTACATTAAAATCTTACGTATCTAAAGGGACGAACCCGATTTATGTGTAAAGAAAATGTTCCACAAGACATTAATGACATTTGAACAATGTTAACAAATTCAAACCAATTAAACTTCTCCTTTTACACAAGTCGGTTAAAAGCTCCATCAACTCTAATGATCAAGTTGTGTTCCGTTAAATAGAAAACAATTCCACAGATAAATATCGAAGTCAGTGGCTCCATAAACTCGTCGCTAAGTGAACCGTCAATTTTGGAATAATTGAATTAAGTCGTCGAGCCTACTTGTCAATTAGCCGACGCTAAAGATATTAACACTGTATGTAATCAAAGTTGCAAGCGTTGCCTGTTCAAATGGAAGTGCCGATTAGAACCGCTTTCTCTATTATTTAATGTTACTCCAACATTATTACCATCACTCTTCATTGACTGTTAGAACTCGAATATCAAAGTCAGGCATAATTTTATATAGTCTACAATTGATAATTAAAATTTAAATTAATCGTATATAATAATTAAATGGGCAGCAAGTGCCCGCACACTGTACTGAGCACGCACGCCGTGAAATTTAATTGGGGGCAGAATAATACGGAAACAGCGAATATTGTTATTAACAGAATCCCTTGAACATTGAACATTTGCATGAACCCGTGCAGGCGTAGCCATAGTAGATTTACTAATAACTATCAATTTGAGCAGCTTAGCGTTGGACTAAGTTACAATAACAAAACAACATATGAGGGAAGTAACAAGCCCCAGACACGTGTCTGTCGCGGCCACGGCCCGCGACTGTCATCTGATGTTGTTTGTGGCCACTGTCCGCGTATGCAGGCCCTCGTTATACTGCTTCCACCACACGCCCGTATCTCCTGATCCACACCACTGTCAAGGAAGCCCTTGCGAATGAACAACAGCGAACGTATTTTTTTTCTACGTATGTGTATCTTTTTGTTGTACATTTATTTTCCTTTTTGCGTCATTTATTCCTTCCTTTCAGGGCCGACTCATCGAACGAAGCGCCCGTGGCCAATGGACTGACCGAATTCGGAGAGGTAAGCGAATTTCAACCTTCTTGTTTGTAGTATAAGAGCTACGCGAGTGTCTGTTTGCAAGGCCACTGTTAATATGGAAGGATGAAAATGCCGATTTGTTTTGTAAGGAATGTTGGAATTATGTTAGGAGTAGGTTGAGTAGAAAAGATACGTGGTAGCCCTGTAAGAATATTGATCGAGGCAGCCGCTGGCGGGACCCTCTTTACTACTGCGTTAGCATCTAAACAACGGAATTAGAATTAATAAAGATGAAATTATAGTTTTCCCAACTAACAGTATAAAATATCAAAAGGTCGCCAAAATCTGTCGCTTAACTGTCCACTAGACATCAATAATAGTTCACAGTATGCAGCACAATATGAATGGCCGTGCTACAATGCTCTCTGTAACAAAAGCTGACCTTTTATAAATTCACACAGTCAGTCGTGTACCTTTGAACAGTAAATACAGGGCATTGTGAGAGCTCCATGCATTCGTGGGATGATCGCGCGTGCTTCCTAACGATAACGATAGCCGAATAAAGGGAGACAGGGTTATGAGAAATAGTTAGTGCATGTAGGAAAGCCTGGGGAACATGAAAGAGCGATAACTCGAAGTCTATAAACCTCTCTTGTACCAAAAGGAGAATTTGATAGAAGGCTTCACTTTAGAACTAGCTCAAATGGACGTAAATTGGACCTCTGTAGTGAATAGTTTCACTCTGTCTCCTCTATCACTATTGATTGCGGCCAATGAAGTTAGATAGCTGTGTTATTAGTCTGACCATACTCCATAACTTACGAAACGAAGGTATGCAATAGACTTGAGTCCTATACAATAAGTAATTTAAGTTGCTACATATTGGTACTTCCATAGCAGCGGAGACTACTGGTTGTTATCAAATTCAAGTTGATGGTTATTGAATTTGTTGGAATATAGAAACTAATGCATGCATAAGTCAATAAACAATGTACACAACTTAGTTTAACTTTCATAAAAATCAGTTACATAGAAGAGAATATGTAAGATAGATACTTATCTTCCAACTGGCAAAATAGGATGTGTGCTGTTACAAATGTTTGGCGGAAAAAACGAGTTGTATTATGTAATCGTAAACGCTTGTTCACCAAACAAGATAACAAGGTTACTTCAAATCAAGAAACATTGACGAGGAGCAATCGTTTCTCGTGGACTATCATCTTGCCATCTTGATGGGATCAGAAATGGAAATAACCAGTCTTTTAGCTTGCATATTTTGATATCAAAACTACCTTATTGGTAGACTTGCTAAGCACTGAGCAAGGGATCATGAGTTTCGGTTTGTGAAGTGAAGTTATAACTTTGCTCAATAATATATTATTGAGCTTTAGATCTAGCATACATAGTGTTCATGATCATAGGTAATTGGTAAAAAGTGGGTGTTATATCAGTTTATGTAAACAAGGAGAAAAAATAGTATGAAACGTGTCATAATACAGTCCCCAAAACCTTGTTCAAAAGTACTTCAATGCTTACTTTGATCCTGGGCCCTAAAACAACGCCCTGAGAATTCCAGACATGTTTTTGGTTCGTGTAAATTCGGCATCACGTTGATGATTCGGGCGGCCGTTCGTGTAATTAGAACGGAATCCTCCTTGTTTCTTATTGCTGCCGTGATGTTGGGGTTGCCTTACATACATAATATATTTCAGTACAATATGGTTATTATAGCCTTTTGTTTTAGTAACATCGTACTCGAAAATACCCAGCGTTAAGGGGCCAAAAAGTTGTATAAACTGCAATGAAAATTGTCGTATAAACGCTGAGCTTTGAATAAAATATTATCTAGTCAATCAACGTGACAGCCATCCCTGTGTTACAATTTAGGAAGATGAATGAGTCGGTCAGACACCAGTGATGAATGACATCAATTAAGTTGCTAGTTAATCGATTATCTATGTGCCTACAAGTATAACTATGAGTCTACATTAATTTCAAGTTGGATTTCACGTTGTGTTTAACTTTAATCTGCATTAAGTTTAAATTTGTTTTTGGAAACGTGATGGAAACAAAAAGGAACAGCTACCTGTATTTTATGAATTACGGGTACTGGGAATTGTAAAAGATCAGAATACAGTGCCAATAGAGAAAGTTTTCTCGTAACACGTAAAAACAATACGTTTATAAAGATATTTTCCTATAAAGTCTGTTTCAGGAAGAGAACTTAAACATTCAATTGGGTACCTATATTGAGTATCGTAATAGCCCCAAAGCGCATTCATTAACCAACAAAGAAGTGTAAATAGTTTTATTAAACAAATAGCAGAGCTAACAGTTAAACACAAGCAATTAACTAACAAGTCTGTCGTACTGCATTAAGGCGAAATTAAATTATCATTTTGAATAGTCCGGACAAATTGTGTGCGGGAATATTTCATAACGTTTGTCAACACAAAACTACAAAGTTACCGTTTCTTTCCTCTTTCGGTTATTGCTGTCATGTAGGCTTTAGGAAATGCATTTATAAAGCTCATATGCATTCCCCGATTAACGTGCATTGTGCTGGATTTTAAATTAAATATTAGGGGCATTTCGACAACGCCCATGCCTTTTTTTTGAGGGGGGAATATCATCCGATGACTTCTCCAGCCCGGGTGAGGCGAGAGGTAGTGTCAGACTCTTGCTGACTAAAAACCACCCCGATCCTACTACTGCACTTCAAGCGGGAGCCCGGATATGAAAGAATTATCAAATATTCAAAGTTATTCCTCTAATGAAATTTAACTCACATTAAGTAAAAGTATTATAATAATTACCTACTCGTACCTCTTTAGTCGAATAGTTTTTTTACAATTTCGTTGTCATTTTTAAAGTAATAATGTTCAGGACAAGATCTAAACAGTAGCCCTGAAATCCATCGCAACAGTTGTATAAAACCGTTTGAATTCAGTAAAACGTTATTTGCGACATAACGAGGGTGCAATCATTGCCTTTTACTGTTTGAAGTGTTCTCAGAGATCTCTCGTGGAAGGAGATCCGATATCCTGATGACACTTGCGATGCAAAACTGTAATTACGGCGCGGAACTTTCTAGAAGAGACGGTAACAAAATGAATTTTACAGAGAGAATATCGAGGATCACACTGAAGTGAGGAAATTTAACTAAAGAAGTAGACACTTTGCAACAATAAAGATTAATCATCCGAGCGCATTGCAGCTATGAAATGTTTTTACAAATATTTTAAAATGAGTAATGGTATACGGTACCTGTTATTTCCAAAGAATAAGAGGCGACATGTACGGCACTATAGGAGCCATTGTTTCTGGTGTTATATTGTCTCAACTGTAGGTACTCATAGTAATGTATCATCGACCTCTAGTGCACATTTATATTATCAAAACGATCTTATTTCAGAATCCATTTATAAGAGAAGAGTACTATAGTAATAACGAGCCCTTTCGATAAATCTACGTATTATCTGTACCTCTATTTCGATAGGGTAGTACTTTACTACATCAATAACTATACTAGAAAGCGAGCCAGTTATTATGTGGAAGTACTTACTTGGAATTCAAAACTGTCGAATGGAACAACAGTTTGTGCATTGCCACTAAAATCCCTTGCTCAGTAACAGTCCTCAAGAGCAACAGTAATTACACAGTAACATTATTATTTGCTACATAGTTAAAACAATAGCACCAAGACATTTGTAGCCATAGAACTTAAGAACCTTAAGAACAAATAAACTTTCGTCCTTCCAATGTGTTTAAAATGTAAGAGAAAGGAAAGAGGGGGAAATAATAACATTTCGCAGCAATGTCGCCACAACGCTTAAAATAATACTCGGGAGTTTCTCGTCCTAAACACACAACGCGAGGGTAGTTTAAAAAGTCCAATGTTAATATTAGAAACAACTAGAAACTGAAGCGCCGAAGGAGAACTTCGTTTAAAACTTTTGTAGAGGAAAGTGCTTGCGGCTCACCGGCAATGTACGTACCTTACACCTACGTATGTATACGTCGATATATATTCCGGCTAAACATTTAGTTCACTAAATATATAAACAAAGATATATTCTTTTTGTGATATAAATATTCATTCATTCGTCCGAATAGAACGAATGGAATGATGTTCAAAACGTATAAAACAAAACGTTACAATGAAATCAGGTTGCTTTTTTATTCTATGCGAGATATCGCCGTGCTCTGGTCCAATTTTAATTACTTAGTCTTAACATTATTTTTACTGAAACAATGTCCCTGATTCTGGATTTTGTGTTTCGATGCATGAAATAACGGTGTTCCATTCAGAATAAGATTAACTGTGCCTCGTCGAGTAATTAATTAGCATGGACAGCTCCATTACCGATAATACAGTTTTAATGGATGACGTGGAGCACCTATCCGAGTCATCGGACCTCGTAATTAAATGTCGTGAAAGTGGAACCTTTTGATTTATCTCTACCAATCAGGACTTATTTTGCTTATTTCAGTTTGAAAGAGAAATCGTTCAGCATCACTAAGTTATGTTGAGTGCTAAGGTACTACAAAACACGTATTGTGTGGAAAGGTTTATATCCAGGCTATCCTCGCCACAATATTTGCGCAACTCTCACATTGTGTTCTTGGAAAAATGTCTGGACTTACACTACGACTTTTGAGATACTTTGAATAGTCTGTTCAACTTTAATCTCTTTATTTTAAACGAAATACTTTAAGCAAGTGGGTAACCAGATTTCTTGCTATCATAAATGATGCATGCCCTTACAAAAACACGAAATGAAGAATAATGTGCGCGCATAATAATTAAGCCTCGCTCACGCTTGTACCATCGGCCGTACAATACCTAAATACATAACGATGATTTAGAGCGCTATTTAAATGTGACTAGGACGGGGTTTTTAAAATGGCGACCGAATATTTTAAGGGGAAGGTTCTCGCATCGAAATGTACACTGAATGAAATAGGGACGTCACACCAAAATGAAAACCGAATTTATGTTCCAAAGGTCTATATTTTATATGAACGTGTTAAGTCATATCATGGATAAATATATTTCCAAAATTTTTAATAAATTCCCGATGAATATAATTGTTTCATTATGTGAATATAATAAACATAAATAAATAAGTAACAACAATTGTGCTAAAATTCAGTCTACCTCTACAATAAAGATTCAATTAAAATTGTTCAACGTTATAATGAAAAAGTCCTAAATATATGCAGGTTTTACATGCCATCGGACTATAAGACGAACCGATAAAAACCTGAAATATTAAAACGCGCCCAACCGTTCCATACTTTCGACCGTACATAACAAACGACTCGTACATAGACTACATAATAGAAACGAGTAGAAAACATAACCCATTGTTTGCTGTCGTGCAGTCGGGCAAAAAGGTAAATAAGAAATGAAGTAGACCGGTTCCCCTTATCGTTAGATCTCAAATTGAGGATCACGCGAAGCCAGGACTAGCAAATATCTGGCAAAACAGTCCTCAGTTAATAAAAAATGGCATGTTGTTAGCATGTCTCTTTTCGGGATTATTTTATTTGCCTACTGTCTATTTTACTTGCACTGCCACACTGTACCTTTTAGTGTCTATTTTTTTTTATTTATGCTGCGTCGTGGCTGGTGCTGAATAAATGCGTTTTCTTTCTTTCTTCTTACTAGCTAGCCAATCAGAGCGCCAAACGTCATACATGAGTGGAATGCTTCAACGTTAAATAACCTCGCACTACGCACTCTGAACATGGCGTGTACTGCGAAAATATTTCATCCTCACTGAATTATGATTAAGGGTTAAAATGCCACTGACATCCATTCGTTATCTTTTGTCTAGACCGAACATGAAATATCTGATGGCCTTGGAACAAAAGACTGCTTGTATCTGCAGACTGAGGTGAAAATATATTTTCATTTCGCAAGACAAATGGCAGAAAGTCTCGAAATTATTTAATAATCTTTATAAACGAGCTGTCACTATTATTCTCAGCTACACAGAAAATGTTTCATTTGCGCTTGAAATTTAAAATTATACAGTTTTAATGTGAAATAAAAAATGTGTTCACAAAGACACGCGTCCACATGAATCTCTTTTAAACGTAATAAAGATATTTTAGCTACTGAAACAAAGCTGAAACTGATGTTAAAATATTCCTTTAATTCAGGATCTTTTACAATCATAATTTAATAAACAAGAAGCGTCAGGCACCGCTGGCTGGCTGCAGACTGGCTGGAATGTACCGTGAGACCTATGATTGCAATTTATTAAAACATCCCATCAAAATTCAGACACGCAAAAGTATTCAACAATGTAATGTACGAAGGATGCTTCGCAGCCGCCGCGCGCCGGTACCGAGCTACTAACATCAACGTGAACTTAATATCGAATCCGATCTGATACAGAATTCATTGCACTCGCATGAATAACATCGCCCCTAGTATCAAGACCCGTAGATATTAATATCGAAGTGTGTGAGTCTGTCTGTGGGTCGCGTCTCGTATTACGAATATAAGAAACGTGCTCTAATAATAACTGGGTTTATAAAACTACCAGTTTAGTACTCGTCCGTGTTTTGTTAGCACTATCCTAATCTTGATGGCAAATACTCATTAACTGCAGATTTCAATAACCGAGCTCAATTCCAAATCTTTAGATTAACATCGATTTCTGACACGAGTTCTGACTATAAGTTAATTAATAATTAATGCATAAATTCAACTAGTGGATAGATACTAAAACTATGTATCATGCTAGCGGCTAGCGTTTGAGCAAATTGTAACCGAGTCTTTGACCAATAAAAAACGGCAAAGGCAAATTCACAAATGCTGTGCAAAATGTCTTAGTCAGTTTTATTAAACGACTTATAAAGTTATTTATAAATCTACATATTAATATTTTTGTCTGCAGAAAGTGGTGCGTGAGATGAACAGGCTGGGCATGATCGTGGACTTGTCGCACGTGGGTGAGAACACCACCAGGGCCGCCATCCGACTGTCCCGAGCCCCCGTCGTCTTCACACACTCCTCGGTCTACAGCCTCTGCAACCACAAGCGCAACGTTCCTGATGACATCATTCACTCCCTGGTTCGTATACTTCTTGTTGACGTGACTGTGTGGCCTACGCGGTAATCACACGCGCTACATGTTGCTCTTTAGCTGATCATCAAGTCACAGCGCTAACCGTGCACTTGTGATAATACTCACCTAAGACACAAGATAAAATACTAGCACAGGAAAGCACAAAAGCACAAAAGCAAAAAGAAAGGACAAAAATTTTGTGGGCCATAAAGATTGTCTAGTATTTTTACTAATTCACTTGTTAGCATTGTGAACCTGCCAACTCTATGTTGGCCACACGTTTTGTGTAAAACCACGATTTTAAACTGTCAAACACCAAGCGGTCACCGGTGACCGCAACCTATTGTTCTATAATTGTGTCTACAAAACCGGTACTCGACGAGTTAAACCTTATGTCACACAAATAGATAATCAACGTCGAAATAAAAATCAAACAACAGATTGCAAAATAAAATGGTGCAAATAATAATTTCATATCACAATGCTCTGTCTTTCTAAAGACATACTAAGTAATATAAGCATTTCTATTATATACACATTAATACTAGACTGGCCTCTCACGAGTATATTTGTTCACAGAAAGAAAATGGCGGAATTATCATGGTGAATTTCTTCCCGGACTTCGTGAAGTGCGCTCCTAATGCTACCATCTCCGACGTCGCCGGTAAGTAGTGTACAATTGTTATTTTACCGGATTTTTGTCTAGTACTACAGAATAATATCCATTTTATAAATGCCATCTAAAATTATATTTTCTTTTATACTTATAATTTCATTTTTATTAAACGTTCGTCTCGCTAAGTATCCCTTGCAAAACTCTTGAATTAAATTCAGTTCGATGGATAGGACCGATATACTTAATACGCTCTTAATGATCAGTAATTGCCAGCACGTATTCCTATTCATCGAAGAATGGAAGTTTCACTCTTATGATTCACAGGCGCTCACATAAAGTAGGCACGTCTACATAAATACTACACTGAGCTTGATATTTATAACGTCGTTACAGGGCTATTTCATTTACCTATCAGTGTTATAGCTCGCAGGCAGCCATTTACTTAAAGTTACTGTGATATAAGTCTGTCAATAAAACTATATTGTAGTAAACCTGAGAGAGTAGTACCTCTAAAGCAGCCAATACGAATGCTAATAACACGGCAAATTAACTCATAAGCGTTCAATTTACATAATCATCGCATTAGAACCGCAACATGCTATTACATTACGAAACAAAGGTACGTCTTAATTGCTCATTAAACCCACAGTTGGGCAAAGATTCCCACTAACCAGAGAGCCGGGGGGTTGATGCTGCTGGCCGTGGACTATTGTGAACGCGTAATTATTTCGTAATAGCTTACAGTAGCGGGTGATTATTGTAAGCGTGCACCGTACTTGCTGCGAGTGCAATCTACATTATCTGTAAAATAAGGTATCTTTAAGTTAAATTTTCATCAAGTACTAAGGTACTGATATTAACTAGGTGGAGAATAAATTATAACTTAGGTCATGCTGTTAAGAAATATTTTGTCTCCGATTAGAGTACACCAGAGCGACTCAACACGGCATTTCAATAAAACATGTCGTAATCCAATATTCAGGCTATTTAGCGTTAAGTAATAGTATCAAACATACTGTATATCATTATATTATGCAATCATATAAGAGCAGATGTTTGTCCAGTCAATGAGAGATTGTTACGAAGAGAGATGTGAACTATTCAACATCCAGTATCAGGTCGATTTTGTGTAGATAAGCATATCAGAATCCATTGATGTTTGGTATTGATGTAAGGTATTAATGTAATGTTTCTTTAGTCCAAAAAGGAGAAGGTTTAACTTTTCAATATTTAAAATTATCAATACTATTAGTGCACCGAGTACAATATTATCGTTGTATTATTTGTTCTACAATTTAATCTGGTAAGTAAATGAAGCTCGAACCGGGACTTGAAATCGAAATCTCTAGCTAGAAAATCGGCATTTACCTACATTTCATTTTTAAAAACGATATTATTCCCAGTTAAACTGACTATTTGAGCAAATAAATAATTCGATTACACATACATATGTAGTATGTACAATGGCATTTAAATGAGTATTAATAGTGATGAGGATTAACGCCGCTGGCCATTATATTGATTGATGGTGTCACCGTGTCGTTCATTATGCATCGTGATGGCTTGTCACCAGCCTTCGATGGCTAGCACATTATCACTATTATATTACTATCAGTATTATGTTCCTGACGTAATTTGACTCTAATAGGTGCTAACTAAGAGAGATATTATAGAGCGATATTTTTAAAAAGCCGACAATGCTCATGTATCTTTTTTGGTGTTGCTGTTGTCAATGGGCGGCGCTGATCGATTACCATCTGGTAATGTCTGCTCGTGCATAAAAATTTCAGATATACATGGGAGACAGGTGTGAGGGTAACGCCTGTCTCCAATGGGGGTAGGCAGAGACTATATGACGCCAATTGCTACGATTCTTATATACCTCTTTCGCTTCATCAACAGTCACAAATGTTCAATGAACTAGATTTTTTAATGACTACTTTTTCATTTACACCTTAATGTAGTGTTGCTGGCACTGTGATGGACAAACTCTAGTAAAACGATAGCTATGTGAATAAGTTCCAACATAACAAGGAAATATCATTGTTTACATATACAAATAATATGTCTATACCTGGCGCGATGGTGGCCGCACGATTTGTTGGGAAATCTCCCGTGATTTATCTACACAGCTACTTGTACTCAGCCCGGAACTCCGTCCAGCCTTGTACGTATGTATGTATATACATGCAGTTAGAAACTGTTGTTGTTTGTTTGTTTGTTTCATCTTTTTTATCATTAGCCTATAAAAAGTTTACTGCAGGACTTCAATAGTGATTGGTTCAATATATAGTAATTGGTTGATTGATTCAATAGGTTTGGAGATTTGAGCAAACATAGTTGCTGATCAGGGTGCAGAAGTTCATGCTTAACAGAAAATGCTATTACCCGGTCTCAGTTACCGTCACTTGTCTGTCCCCTATTAATTGAGGAACATTATCTAAACATGATGATAAATAAATTAATTGCGAAATAAATAAACTACAATGAATCGTGTTGGCTCTTTAGCGACGTACCTACTTCAAAATCTAAATATTTTTGAACAATTCAAGTACGTACCGCAACGTGTCGATGTTTACTCGAGACATGAACCTTGTGTTTCTGGTATGCAAAAACCACTAATTAACACATTGTGAAACTATGCAAATCTCGTGCTCATAACCGCTGAACAGAAACTATTCGGGAAGTATTCAATGAAATATAATCCATATTACAACATTACATCGAACTATGAATCTGTTTTTAATGAAAATCGAGCAGATAGATCGTCTTAAGTTAGGCAATCATTGCAGTCCTTTGACACCCGCAACACCAAAGAAATTTGGGAATTAGAGACGGGATAGGAGGGAAGATGAAATAATATGATAAATATTTTTTTTTCACAGCAATCATAAGCAATCTTACAGTATTTCTACTAGCAAGGAGTTTGATTGAGTAGTATCATAGCAATCAGACCGAGCTGGAATACACAAAGTTCGTGCAATCTTCCCGAGTTCCTTACAAGTCTGGGATTTAGTCTAGAACTTAAATATTACCTTGGATTCTTTACTTAGTGCTCCTGGCATTAGTCTTGATGAACCGCTTTTATTATCTGTTGTTTTCTATGTGGTACTGTAAATTTATTGAAATTCAAACGATTTTGACTTCGCTAACTTGTTACTGATCCCAATGACGTGAAATAATAATTAGAGGTTTGTGTTTAGAATTTATCAAGACTGGAGAACATGGAATAGAATGGAATACACATACAAACTGGTGCACAATAAACACAACATTGTAATACAATGTCAGAGACAGTGTTATGGATGCTCTTTATACGTCATTCATCATTTTCTTAGCACACGTAGTGATAGCTCTTACACTGTCATCGTAGGCTCCTAACTTTGTTTTATCGGAACCTATTCACCGGAATCTGGCTGGGAGAGAACGGTTCTAGTACGGCGTACCGGCCCATACACAACCAACTCCGTATGAGCCGTACCGGCGCCGGACTCAAGCATGGCCGAAGTTATTGTCTTCCCCAACTATCCCCACCGACCAGGCTTTTGCTCATCCGGCCCGGTACGGCTCAAACTTGAAACTTACTCTGTATAAAGTCCTCCTCCGGAAACGATCCAATTTGAGAGGCGAAATGGCTGTCTTTGGTTTACAAAACAAGTCCTGTATTTCGGGTGGATAGAAACTCGACGGTGAATTGAGCCCACTATTTAAGGAAAGGCTTTTAAGTTTGACTAACAAACAACCTATGTATTTGAACATATTATTACTTGTTAGTACAAATCATTTGCACGGTATGCTAAGTAATACTATTTACATACTCGGAATTTTAATAACCATCAAATGATTAAGTGTGGGATAGCCATGCTTCGGCACGAACGGATCGGCTCGACCGGAGTGATACCACGGCCTCACAAAAAACCGACGTGAAGCAACACTTGCGTTGTGTTTCGTCGTGTGAGTGAGGTTACCGGAGGCCCAATTGCCCTCCCCTTCCCCAACCTCCCCAATTCCTAAATCCCCAACGATCCTCAAACTCCTAATCCCCAAAAGGCCGGTAACGCACTTGTAACGCCTCTGGTGTTCCAGGTGTCCATGGGCGACGCCGATTGCTTACCATCAGGTGATACGTATGCTCGTTTACCGGCTTATTATTTATTTATTATTTATTTTCAGCCATAATCGTCCCACTGCAGGGCAAAGGCCTCCCTACCCTCCTTCCACTCCTCTCTATGTAAAGCTTATGCCATAAAATAAAATTAAGAGCATTTCTGTAATTCCTTATGATTAAATTGAAGGAATTCTTTTTTCTTCCAGCAAGCTAAGCTAAAACGTTACTCCACAAATTTACAAATACCTTTCAAAAATCGATTAAGATAAATCACTCACGTACCGGCTTATATTTCGAGGCCAACATGTGAAGGAGTCTTCCCGGGGCTCTGGTTCGAAGTGCAGGAATAGGAACGGGGTGGTTTTAGGCAGTAAGAGTCTGAAATTTCCTCTCGTCTCACCAGGGCGGGAAAATCATTGAATGATTTTCCTTACTCAAAAAAAACACGTGAAGGAGTCATGAATGGAGATCTTGGAGACACTACGTACTTTTAATCTCCATTTCAATAGTCGCTTAAGTCCCTTCGCATCGAACCGACTCTGCGGTCGAGTGCTGAAAGTCCCGCCTGTATTATTCAACTGAAAGCCGGACGTTTCAGCAAACGTATTGCAGCTACGGCTGAATTGATGTAACTTTAGCTCGTTGAAGGTTCATCCGCAACTAAATATTTAATACATTTCCATGATACACAAGTTTGTGCTTATTATCCTCTGACTCTGGAGGAGTTTGTGTAACTCGATGTGTTTGTAGTTCTATGTAAATATAATCCGTGGGTTACTAAAACAAATTGTTAATGTTTTGCCCATTATTGTGATGCGTTTTTATTACTGAAGAACGACAGACATTTATCAACAAGTAACTACATGTTCTAATTAAACGATTTTTGTTCTTATCTATCACCTGGATTATCTTTATTACTGTTTTTACCTTACAGTTTGATATTATTGAACGAAATGATTTCTGGACCTTATTTCATTGTGAAATGTTTCTAAATAGTTTGTTGATTTTTGTTAATAGAACACTTCCACTACATCAAGCGTATGGTTGGCGCTGACTACGTCGGCATCGGTGGAGACTTTGACGGTGTCAATAGGTGAGATGTAAAAAGTAACTTGTGCTATTCTTTCATATTATTGATTAGACACTTCATCATCGTCATCATCATCACTCCCGCACAGAATTAGTTTGATTCATAAATTGCTGTTCCGAGTCTGAATAGCCAACTTGCATAACCAGAACCGTATTATCCCTAAGGCGCCAGGTTACATAGGAGGATCTTGCCTAGTGCACTTTTTAGGTTCAATCCCTCTCTATCTAAGACTGCTTTGATTAGCCAAGTGTGACAAAATTAATATGTCTTCTTTAGTTTAACCATGATTGTTTTTACGGCAGGGTCCCTCGTGGATTGGAGGACGTATCCCGCTACCCGGAGCTGTTCGCTGAACTGCTACGAAGTGGCCAATGGACCGTGCAGGAGTTGAAGAACCTCGCTGGCCTCAACATGCTGCGCGTCATGCGACAGGTTGAGAAGGTGGGTAGCAATGTGTGAGAAGCTTATATATCGTCTGATAGAAAGCAGTTACTATAGCTAATGGATAAGCAGTACTAGAGGTGTCGTGCACCGTTACCGACAATGCGAAACCTTAAGTATTTTAAAAGAAAGTTCAGAATTGTAGGATCATGTCATTGTGATGAAGGTGTAATACATTTAACACTTCGACTACACTTTCTAATAAATCCAAATAAATAAAACTAATACATTATAAACCCGAAATTCTTAAACTGCGACTCTCCAACTCGCCTGCCTAGCCTGAACATTACGGAAAACTCGTTTTACCTACAGAACTCATTTTGAACCTATCTTGAATGCTTCGAATATCCATCTCACGAACAAAGTAATTGCAATAATGGACTAGTAAGGACCAGTTTCCTAGGTACAGAAACATGTCGAAACATGTCAGCTGGTGACATGTTATCTAAAGGGAACTATAACAAGGGTAGTGCAACTGAAATTACATCAGTGTTCGTGAATAGCTTCGGTAGTATTATTGGAGAATGCCAGATGTCAGAGGCTAGTAACTAACTTAATAGATCACAAGCACCTATGTCTTCATTGTAGACAGACTACAATTTACGTCGGTGCAGTGTACCGAGTTTATATTGTACGCTGACCAACTGAACTACAATAATAGTTAGCTTTGATTATGTGGAATATGGAACATGTTGCTAGAATATTAAAACCCATTGAGCTCTTGTGATATAAATCATACTTAATTGGTGCAAGTAAATATGATTATAAAATATTGTTTGAGCGTTTTATAAATATAAGGTGATATGTCTGTCGCTTTGACGTAAATATAAGTAATAGTCCAGTACATGATAGTTATACATCATGCACTGGGCTAGCCTCAGACTACAAGTTACACAGTTGTACGGAACAATACCAAGCACACGTGCATTGTTCACGTCGTGTCCTGCCATATGGCATTACATTACAATGCTTACCGCGATACAAGATGGAGATGAATTATTTAGCTGAAGGATCAATAGCAATGAATACATTGCTAAATGCTAATATTATATTAATATGAATAAACTGCCACAATCCACTACTGGACTTTGGGCCGCCTCTGCATATTGTCCAAGTTAGGCAGGAGGATTGGCAACCGCAGTTTATAACGCATTCATTACAATGCTATGTACGCCATTATTGTTGCATGCATCAGACCTTTATTTTGTTACTTTTGTAAATTTTAAATGTTATATGTTTGTGATGTGGCAGTACTCCTTCGAATAAATAAATTACGATGTTCTGCACGTAAAATACAAAAATACTTACAATCTCCTCGACGAAAAGAAGTAAATAGTGGCTATAATTACCAGAAGTTGATGCACACGTCTGGCTGATCCTCACAGCTAAACCTAACATACATATGTGCAATGTAATGATTGTGTATGTAATTGTACATGTACCGACTACCGAATAAAATAGATTATGTCCCACGTAGTCTCATGGTACATTCATCACATTGTTGCAGCAAAGATACAGTTGAACAAATTCGACAAATATTCTGGACGATGACGCATCCTTTCTTAAACATTTTTTTTATTCATGGTAAAGTATATTTGGGCGTGTTTATGATATGGTTCACGTGAAAGAGCCATGCTTTAGCACAAATTGGCATGGCCTCGCAGACGACCGCCGTAAAACAACTTGCGTTGTGTTTCACCGTGTGAGTGAGGTTACCGGATGCCCATCCCATATCCCTAAAAGACCGTCAATGTATTTGTTACTTCCCTGTTGTTACGGAGGTCCATGGGTAGCGCTGAATGCTTACCACCTCAGTAAGGTAATCTGTCTGTCCGTTTACTGTACAAACTACTTTTGGAGTTAGGAGACAGATATGAGGCTGGAGAGCGGTGTTGGGTACTTTTACCCCTTAACCCCGTTAGTTATTTATATGACAATCATCCTCATTTGTGCAGGTCCGTGATGAGATGCGCACCAACGGCGTGGAACCGGAGGAGCACCCTGACTCCCCCAACGACAACGGAAATTGCACCAGCAACGCTTTCTACACCGAATACGTGTAGACAGATCCCACTCCCCACGCGACTGCATATTTCAACTTTATTTCTATTTAAAGAGAATTGAAATTGGCCTGTCTATTCAACGATTTTCACTTATCAAAATTAAGAGAATTATAACTAAACTTCAAAATATCGTTAATTGATAAGCCTCTGTATTAGGATTGTTTCTCCAAATTTATTGGAAAGTATGAACGGCTACTATAGGCGTTTTTTGGTGCGAAATATAGAAATGTATTTGAAATGTGCAGCCGCGTCCGTACCGTCACTGGACCGTGAGTTCAATCCGACAGTTTGATTCCAATTGATGCGTGTTTAACATGATAAATGTCGTTGTATCAATAAGCGAGCCTCCACACTTGTATCGGAGTTTGCTTCGCCTAGCGAACGCTTTGTCAACGCCTAACGTCCGGCAGTCACACGTTTTCATTATATTTCAATCCAACACAATTAATAACAAATATCAGGAAAATCAGATAAATCAAAATCGTATAGATTACTTTGCAAATTAGAGCAATTCCATTGAAATTAATTACTAATTCATTCATTCAATCTTATTATAATAATTAATGTAATTTATACAATTTTGATAACGTTAATTAAAACGATTTGCTATTTTATCCGAACCCAATATTTAACGAAATTTAACTAAATTATGAATCTGTTTACATTTGCTGAATGTTATTGCTGCTTACATTTTGACCAGTTCGTTTGTAACCGTACAAGTGTGGAGAATCTGTAACCGATGACGTATTCACGTCGATATGTGTCTGTTTAGTTATTATTCAAAGTAGCTGCTGTCATATTTCACAAGCGGTTGGCTGCGGGACTTTATACGACAATGAATTCTTCTCACAGATACATCGAACATGATTTTGTAAACCCAAGCGACAAAGGTATTTCAAGTTACACGCTATGATTCAGTAAATAATGCAAGCGACGAGCCTTTGAAAGTTTATAACAAGAGGGATCCAACTTTACAGTTTAAAGTTCATAAATTCATCGGAGCAGAGATCTGAACCAGGCGCAAGATCTCTTTATTACAGCAGCTGGAACGTTTAAGACAATTAAGCGAATTAAGTGCAAGTAAGACTTAAGTTGCATTCAACTGACTCTCATTTTATTTTCAAACTTAAATGAAAAATGGGACAAACGTTTAAAGAATGAATAAATGCATAAAACTTTCATTAAATCGGAATTTTTGCGTAAATTTGTATATCGTTAATGTGAGAGGAGATGGCGGCCACTAATATGAGTCATGCGTCTGTAAGTACCACCGCAGATCTGTTAGAGTGAGCCTCTTGCCTGCGGCCCACTCAGTTTCCAATTTCACTTCGATCCAATTATTCGAAATCATAGCGATCGAGACTCAGCCAATCCAATTTAACAGTAAATTAGTTGCTATTAAATGTACTAGGCTATATTGTAATAACTGGAATACTATATCACGCGTACATCAGTGGTCGCCATTTTGAAATGAAAATGTAAATTCTATATTTAGCATTCCTTTTATTCAAGTTAATCCAAACAAAAGCATCGTATATTGAATGTATCATCGTCACCGATACTGTAACCGGTGAATCATTTAACCACTCCGCGAACCGCATTTTAACAAAAATGGACGCTAATTGAATGTATTCAGAAATGTTTCAATATGAATAAACAATCGAAATGTTAATGATTGGAAGTTTGTCTGAGAGAGGTTTGGCTCCGGGCGGTGACAAGTTTACTGCTCCAATATTAGCCGGTGCCAAGTAAGTTTGTCGCGAGGTTTAACGAGGTCTTGGGAGAACGTCTTGGTGACACCGCGCCCACACTGCGAGTGCTGCGCTCCGTAGTTGGGATTGTGTCTGTTTCTGCGGGCGCTGGGTGTTTGGCAATACGTCGCTTGTGAAATATGGCGACAGTTTGTATGTCGTAACTGTTTAGATAATCAAAATATATGTCATGTAATAAATGTTGTAGCTGCATGCTAGGTGTAACATTGTGAACTGTGCACTTCTTCCTTCTTTACAACTAAGCTGATTGTGTTCACATATCACTCCCCCCTTTCACCTCCACTCTTTCTGATAATACGACTTCTATCCTTCTTATGTTCTCCTTCTCTTTTCCTAAGGTTGCATTATCAGGAGAGTAATTTAGATAGAGAACTCAAAATTGGAATTAAATGGAAGGCTCTAGTGCGAGAGAAGTAAAATTAACTGGGTAAATAGAGAAATGTAACAAAAATATTTTATTTTACTATTGTAATTTAAAATAAAAATAAAAGGTTCGATCTAGGGACGTAGGTAGAGAATAAAATTTGTAAAAAGACATTTTACTAAATAAAAAACGTAACGTTTGTTTTACGGCGGCGGGTATTATATTGTTCGTTGTTACTTACATTCCAACTGAGGAATTGAAAGTTCCTTGTATGTTCAAACATGTGAGGCATACCGTCAGTGTTCTGACGCAATATAAGTTCGTTGTGGATTCGTTCTCTTCGTTGTTATATAACGTAATATTTTGTAGTTTACTTGTAATTAATATAATTAAGTTAACATATTTTTACATCTATGTAAAGATGTCGCTCATCACTTTAAGTTCCACGTAATTCGGACGAGAGTGGAAGAGGCTGTGCAAGCGTGTGACGGCCGGTGTGAGCACGGCCTGCCGGCACGGACCGGCTCCCGGGCTTACAACGCTCATCATTTTCGCTTTCAAGTTTGCAAGCATTAAATGCGAGCGGATCAGAGCTGAGCTGAATGAGAGCACAAAGCCTCGAGTCGCCGGACACGCGCCGGACGCGGCAATTGTCCGGGAAGCGTCGGAGCCCATCCGACACTGTCCGACTATGTAAGCTAAAAGCTAGTATACAATGTAGAGTAAGGTCTAAACTTGTGATGGAGATCGTTGTGCCAAAAATGACCTAAACTTTTTATAACTTCTTACACAGTTTGATATTAAAACTGTAACTTTCATTTTCTTTTATAATCTTGTAGTAAAACGGCTACCAGTGCCACGAGGAAACGAATAAATGTATGTAACCTAGACTTGAGTTGATTTGTCATTTGGACAATAATACCATCCACTTTAAATGAAATGCTGTGAATTTCTCGATGTATATTTAAATGTAACTTTAATATATGATGTGAAAGAACGACTATTTCTTATAAATTGTGACTGAACGATTTTTGAACCTATACTCAACTATAAACTAAGGAATTTCGTCTAAAATCTGGCTGTTATTTTGTGGTTCTTTTATCTATTTTACATACAATCATGTAATCAAGCGCACAGTCGGTATTTATTACACGGAAACCACTGGGTGATGGTATGACAATGCATCGGTCACACAAACTAGTGGGCGATCACAGTGACGCGAGCGAGCCATCACCTTCGCTGCGCCGGCGGTGGTCGCTCGTGCCGGTTACAGTACGACAACGACATATATTCCTATTGTGACTCGGTACGTTCCAGCGTATATTGTTGAAAGATACCCGCGTAATTCAAATGTCCCAAACATAATATACCTGATTTACGAGCTTGAAACCGAATTCCCGACGTGTGCGCTTGAGCCGAGTTGTGTGGCGCGTTGCTGCGTGTTCAGCTCGACTGATAACACTATCACTATTTACTTACCTGTATATGCTCCCCCTCTGAAGCCTGTATTACTTCGGAGGACCTCATCACTTCCTTCACTGTCTTCCCCGTTTAGCAAAGCGCCAGGCAACTGTATACTGGACTATTTATATATTTATTACACTAGATAACCAATAAACACGTTTGCTGTAATCTAGAGTGTTGTTTTATTTTACTAAACCCCATTGAAACAGAAGGATGTATACAAAAAAAATACCTGAACTAAAATATTTGCTTTGAATATTCGACAAAAAGGATATGCCATGGCATTCGGCCATGACAGCGGATCAAAGGTCTTATGTCAAAGCCTCACAGGTACAAGCTCCACACGTGCTTCTACATAGGCTGAAATATTGGAATTTAGAAAAAAATATTCAATATCATATATGAATACAATATTCACTCCAAAAAATTTCGTGTAAATCCATTGAAAAATTCGTGTGAATTTAATTTCAACTGCAACATTCCCAAAATGAATGAACCAGGACGCGGTTACTGCGTGCTTTGAAGCGCTAAACTTCAAAAAGTGTTGTTTAAAAGTAAAACCATTATGAAAGATACGAGTAAACCAGCGTCACAGCGCGCCGTGTGTGCGACACTACAGCTACTCGCAATACGATCATATAGGTACTTTTATTTCGAGCAGATCTCGTGTTCACAAGAGATTATCGCACGTCGCTTTTCACGCCTCTAATGCTCTAATATCAATCTACTAATTGAATGGGGCGCTGTAGTAATTTCACGCATAAATTCATTCAAACATTTTACATAATAAATGCATAATCAGTGGAACAGTTAACAGTAACCTCGAACAAGTCCGCCCCAGAGGGTTTGTTGAATTTGAACCTTTTGTCAAACAATTAAACTATTGGTTATGGGTCGGGTTAAGCGAATTATTAACTTTTCTAATATTCATGCTGCTGTTAATTCATTGATCGAATAAGTCGTGAATGGTTAACCTCATTTAATAAACTGTCTCGTAGCTCCATTGGTCGATTCGGAAAGAAATGTGATATTATTTATTTAAATGGTCATCACCATACTATTCTTATAAGTGAGGTACATAAAATTACTAACAAAAAACTGACTACCATTAATAAATGCACCACTGTCTGTCCCTTCGTCTTATAAACACTTAATATTATTTTGTAGCTTACGCCCGAATTGTGAAAGTCTATTTTAGGTTGTACTTAAATATCGTGCCATCTCTATTATTTTACAATGAAGTTATAGCGACAGAAATATACTTATTATATTTATAAAATTGAGAGGTGTTTCAGTACTCGCGCATCAATCATTTGGGATTTGAAATCAACTAAAATGCGGAGCAATTACAAATAGTCAGACGAAAATAAAATACGTGGTACGTTGTGCGATGGAAGACTGGCTGAGGCCACAGTTCGGCCACAAGGGGCTGCTGAGAGGTTCTGATGAAAATTAAATGAACACGCCAGGCGCTCTGCTCCTAGGCCAGCAAACGAAGCTGTTCTGTTAACCCCTCGGCCTGTACAGATACTGTGACTTGAGAAGAAGAACATTGCATTACCATAAAATTACTCTTTATACCTCAAAGATATAGGCAGAGGTGCACATTACAGCACTGTACAATGTAACACGCTATTTATGTTATGAGCCCAATGTAATAGGGGGTGAGTCTATTGCCACAGCACAATTTCAGACTCCGTCCTACTACTGAGATTTTATTTAAACCCCAGTAACACTTTGCCCGATATCCCTTGCCCGGCAGTTCCACTTGCGAACGAGGCAGTCATTTTTATTACATTACTCTTCCTAAAGATAAATATCGCTAATCTTCTATACAAATAACAAAGTTTATATAACTGCAACGAATAACAAATAATAATTAACAAAACAAATCAAGATATTGTACCGATTTGATTTGTTTGAAAATTCATTACGTTTATTCTCAACCAATAAAACATTCATGTTGTGTCGATTTGTACACGTACTTATGTACATAAGTCATTCAGATAATAATAAATATTGCAATACTATCAGTTTGTCCAATTACATTGTTTAAACAAAGTCGGCAAGGGCCAACAATCTGTTTGCAAGCTGCTGATTAAACTGACGGAAGCCGAATACAGAAGTCGTGTGAAATTAAATGATATTTACTTATTATTAAACTGTTTGAACTGTTAAGTAATTACTTACTGAAGTAGTAGTGTTTACTTGATAAATAATTCATTCGTTAATTTATAAGCTGACTATAATTACATAAAAAGACAATAAATTAATTTGGTGCAAATCATTTTATAGTCATTCTAGTGCTGAAAACTCAACTTTGTGACTGACATAATAACCTTCCTATTCTCTCGGTAGACTATCGCTTCCGAATCCCAAAAAAGCCGGCAGCACACTTGTAACATCTTTAGTCCCGCGAGTGTCTATGACCTGCGCCATTTGCTTACCATCAGGTCATCCGTCGGCTCGTTTGTCAAACTTTACCTTCCAATATCTTATAGCAATTTGTTGGTTGTTAACGTAAAAAAGTGTAACAAAAAGCTAACATGTGTCCAGCTGCTAGGTCTACAGCTACTCACGTACAAAGGGACGGATATTCCATTAATCTTCACGCTTCCTCGCAATGTTTACCTTGCGAATGTTTTCTTAAGATTAACTTGTTTACCGCAAGATAGCCGCAATTTGAAAATGTATCAGAACACTTGTGTAGCAGTGCATCAATCCATTTTCTCAAATCATCAATATCATTAATAACTTTAACACGCAGCCTGTGGTTGTTCTCAATTTTATGCTCAAATTATGTAAGACCCAAGGTATTCAGCGATGACGTTGTGATGTAGATCAAGAATTCACATCAGTTCAAATAGTTTAAGCATTTATTATGTAATAGCCTTTGTCCAACAAACGCTACTGGCAACAAAAAAATATAAAATAACCTACGATAATTAGATAGTAATGCCGACAAAAAATCAGGTTAATTATAATTTCAAAGCTTTCGGAATTTCATCGTTGTTAACAAAAACATGTTAAGGAATAATCCGTCAAAACTGATATTTTTACACGTCAAGTATTATTTCGTGATCGTGATGTAAGTACCATGCAATAACATTGCGGTCCGTAATGTAATCATGGTTCCATCACGCCGCGCCGTGGCCGCGCTGAGAGGCGGCGCTCGGTACAATCAATCGCCTAAATTGACAGCTCTCTAAGGAGACAGCCCACATTGAAACACAGCAAAATTGCTCGCATTTGGAATAGAAATAGGCAGACTGCATTTAGTGGGCATTGTGGTACACCATCGTTATTATTGTGGCCAGTGATGTTGTGTTACGTCATCACTAGTGTTGTGGCTGCCGAGTAGAATACATCAATACTTGAATCTTTCAAAATGGGATCTTCATCCCTGCCAAGCGTGGAGATCGTTATAGCTTATAATAGTATCGTTGTTTAATATAGCTTAAAATTGCAGAGCTATCACGAGTCTGTAAATATTGTAAGGTTTATTTTTATTTACGTGACAACATTAATCAAGATCTCTGATGTACATTGAAACTATTAACGTACAAAAAATGCGTTACAAATTATACGTTGCGAGGACGCGAAAGTTTCAAGCAGTTTCATACTTGAAACTTCACGTAGTATAAGCAGTCATCGCAAAGAACAATTCACACCACATATTTTGAATATTATTTGCTGTCAAAAACAAAAAAATAATGCGATTGTAATACAAGTTAATACGTAGTGATTTATGAGCATGAATACAATGTGCTAGCCCACACTGTGTCATTACAACCACCCAAAAATTGTTACGCAAGCGAAACGCCCTCACATTTAAAATGTTCTGAAAATTTTGGTCTATATGTGTGTTCGTAATCAAGTGACTCAGCACTAACTGAGGGTATGAAGATAAGACCTTAATCATTATTTATTTCTGCTACAATTTTAAGGCAATTTCAAAGAGATAAAACCAATACTTAAAATACTTTTCCAAGGTGTAGCGACGTTACGACGACGTAGCGTTCGTAGCAGTTGTAATTCACACTTGCTACGCCGTAGCACGGTCGTAGCGTATCCTTTATAATGGCACCGAGTAAAATTATATTTGTTTCGTGCTTATATCTTATTAAGGATCCTCTAAAAGATTAAGCTACTGTTACATCTGCTTTCAAATAGCATGCTAGAAAGCGTTCTATTAGGCATGCACAAATTTGTTCAAATATCGAACGGCTGTCGATTCACAAAACGTGCCTGAAATAAGAATGCAAATGAGTAACATTCCGACGCACATACTACTAAGTGACGAGTTCTAAGTGCATGTGTAAAAGTACCATAACGATTATTAGATACAAGTTTTCATCTACTTAGAGTGATAGACCTACTAGATTACGAACCACAGGTTTAAACTACAACGTGGTACATTTATATTTGTTTCATTAAACCCCCACTGTAATCATTCATCTCGAGTGTCTCAAGTTTCGCGAAACCTGCGTAAGCCGCAGCCTCCTCGAGTTCGTACACAAAGTTAACTAGTGCATCAGCTGAGTGCACATGTATTATGAACTCGGTTTAACATTTCCAAGTGGTTATATTTCAGCGAACTTGCTTTCTCAATAGGAAGCTATGTTGTGTAGTGGTTATAATTATTAACAACGAAATATGTTTTTGATTTTATGAATAAATTTGTAAAATGGCACCCGATTTTAAGGTATAGTTTAATTTGCTCCAAACAGAACTACTTTATTAATGCAAGTATTATGAACATGTCGGAGACCAATAGTAATGTCCAATGTCCTGCCTAGTCCTAATTACAGCGATTTACGTTCCATTTCTTCTTAATTGATCACTTTCATTTCTACTAACATGTTAAAAATTCTTTTTATAGACTATCTTTCAGTCGATTTCCTCATATTGGCTCATATCTATTACGCCACCTTCAATAGTATCAATAGTATCGACAATTAGTTATCGTGTAGAACGTTCGATTGTTCAAAACGATTAAAAAATGACTTTTGGATACGGTATTGAAATCAACGTGCCATAAATACTGACGTAATACACAGGCCAACATATAAAAAAACTTCGCAGAAATATAATTCATACATTTTTTTTTTCATTAACCAGTTGTGGCTCTACTCTACAAACTTTTGAATTGAGTTTTGCACAATTTTTCAA